TATCCATTAAAAAAGTATTTTTTCCTAAAAACCGAAGTAATGTAGGTTCATGGCAGAAGATTTGGAACATTTACAAATGTGATCCTGATTTTACCACCTAATTTTATCATCATTTGGTTGTATAGCTGCCAGTCCCTTTTCTATTATGTTATGGAATATAAATGCCAAGAGGGCAGGGCTGTCACTGACATCTGTGGCTCGGTGTTCTGAACAGCGCCCAGGGTGTGGCTACGTGCAGATGTCTTGGTTGGATGGATCAATAAATCACCACATAAGAATAATTTGAATCGAAACACGTTGTCTTGATGCAGCAGAGAACAGCAGGAAGAGAGGTGCTTGGGTGTGGCTGCCTTGAAATCAAGCTGCTCTTGCTAATTTGCTGTTCTCCTTGGGTCAATCACTTCACTTCTCTGGGCCTGAGTTCCTTCTTCAATCAAACACACACTGGTTCATATTTATCAAGAGCTGACTCTATGCCAAGCGCTGTTATAAGCTTTCTATGGGAATTTCTCTCCATGACTCTGTGGGTGGTAGCGTCTGCCCCCACTTATGCACGAGGAAACAGAGGCATGCCGAGGTGGGTCTGGGGTCTGCCCTCAGTCACACAGCTAAGTGGAGAGCAGCTGGTCTCACCTTCAGGGGATGCCTGGCCGTGGGGTGACATGACTTCTACGGCCCCTCCTGGCTCCAGCGCTGAGTGAGAGAGGAGTGGGGCAGGGAGGTGGTGGCAATGATTATGCCTGGAAGCTCAATTGTGGAGCAAGGTCCAGATGATTATTACCTGGAGATCAGAGAGCAAAGTTCTTAACGAGAGGGCTTCCTCCTAAGCGTGAATGTGAGGAGTCCAAATGGGCATCCACTGAGCGTAATTAAAGACCAGTGGCCATCCAACCAGCCCTCCATCATCTGGGGGCAGGGTTACGAGGGCTCCTCTTCTTCCAGAGCCGGCTCTTCCAGCCACCCACAGGATGGTGCCCGGGGTCAGGCAGGGCAGCAGCTAAGAGGTAGATCCCCACATTCCAGACCGTGAGCAGCCGTGATGCGTCCAGTGGGGGAGGACGAATGGGAATGTCGTGTGATGATTAGCTGGGATGTCAGGGGCAGGGCGCTGCCTCCCTCCCCGTCCTGCCCCCCAGAGGAAAGTGTGGGCCGATAACCCGCCTTATATCCATGGCAACCAAGTCTCCTTTCTGGTGAGGAGGAATGGGCTTCGGTAAACAGATCTATTTGTGTGACTCCTGTTACTCATTCGAAGCCGTGTCACTCCTTTTTCCACTGTGGTCTGTGCGTCTGAGTCAGAGGGCGCCTCAGCGGGCTTCTCTGAATTGATGGCTCACTCCCAGCTCCCTTGACTGACTGCCAACTTAGCAGGGCGTAGCTTACCAGCACTTTTTTTTTTTAAGCCAGACTGATTCATAGAAACTCCTTTAAAACACAGTGAAAAGAAACCGCCCATCACACACCCTGCACAGCAGCGCAGGAAACTTATAACCTCGGGAGGCCGGCCCTCCCCTCACTGCAGGCACGGACTTCCAGGAGAGCAGACACCTGCCACCAGCTCCCGCCGCCCGCTGGACCCTCAGGTAGGACGGCTCCCCGTGCTGCGGGGGCGCCCAGCAAACTTTCTTTCCTCCCCACGGCTCTCCTCCTTCTGACCTCATCAAAGCTTTGCTTTTCCTCTTTCCCTTTGCTATTTTTTCTATGACTCCTTGAACTGTGTCCTTCAAGCTTTTGGCTGCAAGTGGACACAGAGACAACTTTTTCCTTAAGGTTCAGTAAAATACAGTTTGAAGGTGGGGGGGTGCAGTTCAGGGAGATCAGCAGGGCCGGGCTGTCATTATGTCTTGCGGGACCTGGGCACTTGCCCTGAAGGTGTGACAGCAGGGGGACTTTGGAGCTCACCGGGACAAGGTATTCCTTATGGAGGAAACACGGTGCATTTGGGAGATGACGTTCTGCACTTGGCAGACTTGTCAGTTCCTCTGTTTTGATTCAAAGTGCTTCAGGACTTGAATTGTTTCTCTGTCCGCTAGTCTTCTGCGGGTGATGGTGGAGAGATACCTGCTTTTCAGTTTATTTGTGTGGTTGCTTTTACAGTGGTCCTTTGCCTTGCTGGTTCACTTTTGTTTAAATTTCAATGTTTTTTTCCTTTCCACAGGATAGGAGGAGGGGGTGGATTTGTTTTAAAGAAAACCGTTAGAGAGGGAGAGGGAACCGAGCGGGGTTTCAAATAAAATGCGGGAAGGGTTCCTCTGGTGGAGTCAGGAGCCTGATGTGGATTCCAGAGTCCTTTCTCCCCTCGGCCAGATGTGGAAACTGGGTTTGGAGGAGAGGGTGGGGCAGCGGAACTTTATCTGTTCCTGTTAAAAAAAAAAAAAGTTGAATCGTTCTGTGCTTTCACCCCAGAAACCCCTGAATTTTAGTGCTGAGTGAAAAGATGGCATATCAGAAATGTTAAAATAATTTCTGTTTTTTTAGGTGGATGTGGGATTTTTCTGCATGGAAGGTAGTGATTGTTTTGGAATATTTGTCTTCTTGCTCTTTCCAAAACATGGTTGTACAAATGCAAACACTCGTGCTAATCACGAGGGGAATCTGGAGAAAGAAAGAAGAGGGATTTCTATTTCCTTTTTTTTTTTTTTGGCTAGCATTTTGGTTGAGGTGTGGCCCATTTCAGCATAGTTACTGGTGTATCCCCCCCCCCACCACACACACACGTAAACAAGGCGAGGAGAATGACAGGACTCAGCTTGTCTGACGGAATTAGGCATTTCCTTGAGAAGTGCAGTTCTTTGGAAAGAGAAGATTTAAATGTAATCAGCCTGTGTACCTGGCACAGGCACGGCTCCTGGTAAAACTGCCCTCAACGGGATGATTAAACAAGTGCAAGGAGCTCCCGCATTTGCTTGAGATGTTTATTTTGTCCAGGATTACATGGATGTGGATTAGGGAAGCCATTATTAAGGGGATCGTAATGATATTCTGTGAAGCTAGTACAAATCTCTGAGTCTGTGTAGGTTCAAATGAGAAGGCCAGGTTTAACCCGTCGGCAAACAGAAAGTACTGACGCTCTGGGGGCATAAACCGTCATGGATCTCATTATTTGCGTGGCATTTCACGTTACACAGTTGTTATATAAATGAGAAAGTGTGCTGCCTGTTACTTCCTGGAGTTTGAGGGCAATTTTTTGAAAATGCGTCTCTGATTCCTGCTTTCCCCCCTTCCTCCCAGGAGTAGTGAGAGTGCCTTGGCTGTGGGAGTTTTTCTGGATTTCAGCTCTAAAACTTTGAGGATCCTGAAATGGGAGGGTTGTTTTTCCCTGCTGCCTCCCACCCTCAGAGGTGGATCGAATTCCACCCCAGACTCGGAAGAACGGGGAGGGGGTGGAGGGCTGTCTGGAGGGCTGCAGGATGTCCGGTCTGGCGTCCTGGCCCGAGGACCCCCCCAGATTTTACATTGTTTGAGGATACGACACTGTCCCAGGAGTTGGCAGAAGGCCATCAAGGACCAGCCCAGGGCAGATCGCATCCCAGAACAGAGGCTGGCTGCCTCCCAGGAGTACAGGGCAGCCTCTGAGCAGAGGAAAGACGTCCCTTCCCCAGACCGCGGAAAAGACTGCGGCTTCCTCAACTCTTTCTGCTTCCGTCCGAGGCCAGGTGTGGCCCATCCAGTTCCCAGGGGCATCCAGACTCCAGGGGGCCCAGGGAATGAGCCCTACAGAGGCCACGCTGGGGATGCAGACCCTCCTGGCGGGCTGTGGGTGCCTCTGGGGGTTTTGGCTCACTCCAGACCCACTGCGACCAGAGGAGAGAAAGCAGTCAGAGACCAAGAGGGCTTAGGGATGAAGACTCCTCAGAGCCTGATAGGGGATATACCTAAAAAGTGGCCCCAGAGAAGGGCACACGGCAAATTTAGTTACATTTCATCCTGGATTGTGGGCGTTGAGCTTGGGAGGAATCTTGGCGGTCAGCTCGTTCATTCTCCTACTATATGCAGAAATCTTACTTTCATTCCACCTTGGACAGATGGGCGTTTTACATTTCCCTAAAGTTTCCAGAGAAGCGGCTTGCTACCTCCGAGTGCACCTCCATGCTCACCCCCTTTGCAGGACAGCTCTAATTATGAGAGTTTCTTAGCTCCAGCAAAATTGACTTCTCTGTAACTTCTGCACTTCGTTCCTAGTTTCGCGATCCTAAAAATACCTGTTCCATTCTTGTTGTCCTCGACCCACTCAATGTTCTTTATCTTTTAAGCACTTGACCCTCATTTAATATTTAACGGATAAAAGTTGATGAATCTGTATTATTGTTGTTATTAATACCTAAGACTCAGAAAGCTTTGAAGCTTTGAAACTCTGCACATTAGGTGTCCACACTCAAGTGACTGGATCCTGATGTCTTTCATTTTCTCAACACGTGCATACGGCTCCCTCTTTAGCTGACACGTGTGTATATGGAGCTGCCCTGGACAGAAGCTCAGAGACACGTGGGACTTTCAGATATACCTGCTCAGAGCGACACACCCAGTTACTCCCACAAGGTCATGGTTAAATCAATCCAATACCAGAAACAGCTTCTCACTTGGCCTTGTGGGGCTGGTCCCTCAGCTTGGTCCATAGTCCATGGCGCTCACGCCTCTACAGTGTTCCCTCCTGTCATCGTAAGTACAGGAACAGACTGCCAAGCTGTAACCTCGGTCCTATTGCTGGCGGGCAGTCTGGATGCCCATCCCCTGAAAGGAGCTCATGACAGTTAACTAGTGAGCAACTGGAACTTTCTCACCATCAAGTTGCCTTTGCCGACACTCTTCCCAGTTGTGCCCAGAGGACCCTGGATTTCTCTTCAGTAATTAAGGGAGCCCAGATACGCTTCCAATTAGGAGTTTGCTTGAATTCCTAAGACCCCAGCCCCAAACACACACGTCTTAAGATCACTGTTTGGAACACTCCGGTTACAAGTCATTTCTCTCAATTTAAGCTGGAGACCCACTAATACGGAAGCCCAAAGATACAAGTAGAGGCCCTTGTGAGGCTTGCTGCTTCTCTCTCTTCCTTTTTAGCAAAGCATTTGGCTCCACATTCTGCTCCCTGCTGTGGAAATGGCATTTCTCGGGGACTAAAACGGACTCCTCTGTTCTTTGTGCCAGTGGCCTGTGGCAGTTTTCATATTTCCCGAGCCTGTTTCATGAATTCTCCCTTCAAATGGGAATAATTAATGTTGAGAACTCATGAGGCACATGTTGAAACTGGTGGTAAGCATCCTGGGGTAGGTGCAAGATGGGTGAATAGGAAGACAGAGGGACCGTGGTCTTGTCCCGACTCTGCTAAGTGTCGTGGGCAGGACGCAGGTCTTCTGGCTGGAGGGCACTGAGCTGGGGGTCTCTGCCCCTTGTGGCTCTGAGACTTTTGTTCTAAGATCCTACCATTCTTGTTCTGAGAAAGAAATCCCTTGGCTCAGGCTAACAGCAAGTTTAATCCATAAAAATTGGTAGAGAAGTGACATGAAGCAGCACGCTGCATGGGAACAGGCTCCTTAGGGAGGTCGGAGGACGCAGGTGGCCTCCTCTGCTCCACACACGCCCAGATTCCTTAGGCGTGTGGCCCAAGGGCTTTACCGTCAGGGAGCAGTGAGCATTCACCCAGCTCCCCGAAGAAGTGGAAGAGGTTTGATTTATGAAATTTAAAGGGCGCCAGCTCAGAGGAGAAGGGCTAGGCTCTCGAAGCCTCGTTAAGACACTGACAACAGCAAGGGATTCGCCAGGAACCAAACCAGGCTCAGCAAGGCCTGGAGCTGGTCCTGGGAAAGGAGCCCCACCCTCTTGTCAAGGAGGGTGTGGCCCTAAGGGTGTGGTTGAGAGTGGCTGGTCAGGGAATAGCCTTAGAGGAGGAAAGAGAAGGTACAAGGAGGCAGAGGGCGGGGAGTAAGGGGGGCTGCGTGTGTTTCCTTAGGCCTGTGCGTTGCGGGAAAGAGGGGGATGGATGGAAAGGCGTAAAAGGGAGAAAGAGCAAGTGGAAAGAGACGGCCAAGGAGGAGAAAGAACAAGGCAGATGTGTGAGGATGCTGCACACCCGACTCCCTCTCCTCTGGTCTGAGGACCCCCATCCTCAACATCTCAGGACTGTCCTTAGGGCCAAGTATTCTGTGCTCCCGACACTGTGAAGAATCTTTGTTGCTTGGCAACATCTGAGTTTCTATCGAGTATTTATGTCAATGGGGGTGGTGGTGGGGGGGTGATCTTCCCCCTCCCCGCTGGACATTCCTTCCCTTTTCAGAAGGATCAGATCAGGGCTGAGTGCAGAATGAGGTCTCTGACACTTTGACTTCTTTCAAATAATTGGGGCTGGAGCTGGGGACTTGGAGAGAAGTGTAGTTTCATGAAACCAGCCCTGTGTGTGCACTGACTTCAGAGACAGTGGTGGGCTTCACCCTGATTCCGCTTTCACTCTGGGGACCTGCCTTCCCTCCTTTGTCAAGGAATTGGACTTAATAGCCCCAGCCCGGCTGAGCCTAGAAACAACCAATGGCCCTCAGAGAAACGAAGCCCACAGCCCACCCCGCGCACTGAGGGCGCCCCCAAGGCGCCC